AAACAACCAAGAAATGGTTCATATCTATGTGAGCAAACATCCAAATCTCAGGGAACCAACTGCTAATACCAATTACAAAGCAACACAAATATAAATTTTGCCAATAACAAAGGCACAAATAAATGAAAAGAAATTCCTGTTCATGTATTGAAAGAATTAATATCGTTTAATTATCAAGCCATAAATAAATTAAATATCTTAAAACATAGGTTCAATTCAATCCATATCAAAATTCAATGATGTTTATAGAAACAAATTTTATATTTATGTTTCAAATCAATTTATAAGAGAAGAATTAAGCTTTAGGCTTCATATTTTCTAATTTGCAGCTGTGTTACAGAGATTTAATCTATGACACTGGCATAAAAACAGACAAATAGATAAATGGAAATTGAGTCCAGAAATGAATTTAATGTGTGGTCACTTAATATTTGACAAGGAATCAAGAATACTCATTGGAAAAAATAACCCCGTTAATAAATGGCACTGGTTAAGTTGGACACTTACATTTAAAAGAATAAATCTTTCATACCACTCACACAAGTGAACAAGAAATAAATTAAAGATGTAAATGTAGTAACTGTAACCACAAAATATATATATTAGAAACTTCTTGGCATGTTTTTTTCAGTGAGTTTTCTGAGTATGACACATTAAACACAAAGTGAAAAACAAAACTAACAAGTAAGACCACAAATAGGCAGCAGTTAAATGACAACCCAAGGAAAAGAGAATCTGGAATATAAAATCTTATATATTTTAAGTTATATATCTATCTGATAAGGTAATATCATAAAACCCAAAGGATAAAAATAATTATTGTAGTTTAGTTTTAAAATGTGGAAAATATCTATGGATAAATTTCTCAAAGAAGATCAGTGAATGACTAATAGGTGCAGAAGAGGCTTCATAAAATTGTCATCAGAGAAATAGAGTAAAATACAGTAAAATATCTCCTCATGTCTGGTATAATGGTAATGATTGGAAAGACAATAGCAAATGTTGTAGGAGATCACCTAGTGGACAGAAATGAACACAGACACCAATGAATTAATCCTGAAAGCCTCAACACTACAAGGTACAGTCCTGGTGTTCCCTAGTACTGTAGTAAACAGCCAAGTAGTAACCAAATCCTTGGACTCTATGTTGAACCAACCTGCCTAGTTGACCAAGAATTGACTGCAGTGAATCTGGAGTCCCTGAGAACTGCTCGAAAGATCCCAATAAATAAAATAAAAATGTTCAGGTGATATAAAACAAGTCCAAGTAGAAAAGTACAAGTGATATAGAAGTCACATAACAAGTGATATAGAAGGTACATAGAAAGGAGAATCTTGTTGGTGAGATTATGAACTGTTTGATATAAGATAAATAACTAATAGTGATACATAAAATGACTTGCTGTTTCTGCTGCACAATAGAGAAAATATTTAAGGGGTGAATCCTCAAGAGATCTCACCACAGGAAAAGTTTTCATTGTATCTCTACGAAATAATAAATGCCAAAATAAACTTACAATATATTCAATATATTTTTAATTCAATTATTACTTAATATATTGTTACTTCAATATATCATGATAAATTGCAATACATTCCAGTAAAATCATTAAGTTTTACACATTAAACTGGTTATGTCTTGATAAAACTAGAAAAATAGTCTTGTATGTACCACAGATAATAAAATTTGTGGGGAGGAAGTGAAGGGGATCCCAAGACATGCTCAGGTGGCTGTGGGTATGCTCTTATAGCTACTCAGAGACTGTATAGCTTTGGTGCTAGAGCCCAAATATGAAATACTGTCAGAGTCTTTGGAGCCAAGGGTCTGCAGCTTCACAGCCTGCAATGCTCAGGAGCCTTCAGGTCCACAACTGGTGATGCTGTAGACACCACATGGTGGTGGTGGATTGAGGTGGTCAAATCTCATACACATTGCATTCACACTAAACCTTTTCCTATCACCCTGTGCCAAAAAAAAAAGTTAAAATTTTATCTTTTGTTTGTGGATGTATCTGTGTACCTACTTACTGAAATATATACATAATATTGATTAAAAATTCATAGATTGTGTGCTTAATACATACCATGATGCTGATATTTAATTAATAATGAAAACACTGAGTAGTAAAAATTGCTAAACATGTATGTGTGTGTGTGCGTGTATATATATGTAAATATATATATATATATGCATTTGGAAATGTTAGTGTTCCTTGTGTGTAGACTAGGGAGAATGAGATGGATTGGATTGCAGTATTATAATATTTCAACCCTCTTTTCACTATTGCAGTCATGTGACAACTTCCAAGCTTTCATTTACTTCTAGATAGCACAGCGGTAGGGCGTTTGCCTTGCACGCAGCCAACATGGCTGACCCGAGTTCGATTCCTCCGCCCCTCTCGGAGAGCCCGGCAAGCTACCGAGAGTATCTCACCCGCCCGGCAGAGCCTGGCAAGCTCCCCATGATGTATTCGATATGCCAAACACAGTAACAACAAAAGTCTCCAATGGAGACGTTACTGGGCCCGCTCGAGCAAATCAATGATCAACGGGAGGGCCATTTACTAGACTCCTAAGTTTTACATATTTTTTATAATCATTGCTGTTGTTAGCAATATGGTGAATACAATATAAAGGAAATCTGGATATGCTGGGTATCTCCACTCTTTAAATTTCTTACTATTTTATGAAACTTAGGTAAAAACCACCAAAATTTCCATCATGATCATCACTGTCATTATGTTCATCTATTTGCTCAAGCGGATGCCAGTAACGTCTCCATTCGTCCCAGTCCTGAGATTTTAGCAGCCTCTCCTTACTCATCCTTCTCAATGCTGCCGTATTAGAGGCTTTCAGGGTTCAGGGAATAAGGACCGTTATTGTTACTGTTTTTGGTATATCGAATACGCCATGGGTAGCTTGCCAGGTTCTACCCTGTGGGTGGAATACTCTTGGTAGCTTGCTAGGCCCTCCGAGAAGAAATACTGCATCGCTCTCTTCTGAGAGCACCAAAATTTCCATAGGCATTAAAAATTTAGTTGAAAATACTAGGGGTCTTTTTTTAGAAACTCATTTAACTCATTAGAGTGTCAAGGCAATGGGTGGGAGTAGAATTTGTATGATTTATTTATATGTTCAGCCAATATTTTTTCAGAAACTTATGGAGAAGGTAAAGTACTGAAGACAATAAAGAACACTCTTGGGACAATGCAATAAACAAGTACATCAAAGTGTGCAATGGCGAATGTAAGTGGGACAAAAAAGAACTGCAAGGGAATGAAGAATAATAGAAATCTCAGTTCAGGTTAGAGTGTCCAAGGAAAAAATCTCTGAGGTTGTGACCCAAAATAAAGAGAGACCACGACAAACATAAAAATTTGCATGGAGCAGGAATCTAACATATTGGTCACAGGATGAGTGTTCTCAGAAAAATCTCAGAACCCCAAAAAGATAACTGTGGCTTAGCTGCAGGGAAAAAAATGGTCCCTCCAAAAATGGGATAATGAAGTTTTTCAGAGTCATGTTTTGTTTATTTTAATTAAGGCTCATAAAGTACATTCTGGATTTTGTTCTAAGTAGATCTGGAAGTCATGAGGACTTTTAGCAGAGGAGAGTATGCTATGATCACTGCTCTAACAATATGTCTGTAGAGGGTTGAACACAGAGACGTGAAATCAGTCCACAAATTTAGGTGAAAAAGTAATGGTGGGTTCAGAAATAGTGACTTTGTACAAGTCATGATTAAAGCTGGGGGTTGAATGTGAGAGAAGGTCATTAGATTTCTAAGTAGAAAAGTTACACAGGCAGTTTAATATGAGTCCAGAATTTGGAATAGAAAACAAGTGTACTGAACTGAAGAGAGAGAACAATATGTAGTGCATTTGATATATACTTGCTGAACTGTCTGATTTCTGGCACATTTAATCTCTTGACCACTACCAGGAGTGATGCTGGAGTGCCAAGGCTAGAGTAACAACTGACCACAGGTGGGAGTAGTCCCCAAACAAACAGTACATGGGTCACATTTAAGTCATTGACCATATCTCATTGTCAAGGAACTGATTTTTGTTAAAGAAGTAGAAGAGCCAAGGACTGAACTTAGAGGAATTCAATGTAAAAGGTTGTAAAATGTAAAGTACAGAATTTGTCAAATAAAAATTTAACTTGGTGTAAAAAATGGATTAATTTGGCCAAAACTTATGTTTTACATATTTTACTGGACCTACAAATGCTGATAATACTTCAAGAAATCACGGTCACAGTCCTCCCGTTGTTCATCAATTTGCTTGAGCGGGCCCAGTGACGTCTCCATCATGAGACTTGTTGTTACTGTGTTTGGCATACCGAATACGTCACGGGTAGCTTGCCAGGCTCTGCGTGGGGTCAAGAAACTCTCGGAAGCTTGCCGAGCTCTCCCAGAGGGGCGGAGGAATCGAACTCGGGTTGGTCATGTTGGCCGCTTGTAAGGCAAACGCCCTACCGCTGTGCTATCGCTCCATACCTTCAAGAAATCACCATTTTGAAATTCAAATTACCAGGGCATTGTTTTCATTTGCAACTTGGCAACTCCAATGTTAAGAGTCAGACAGATGAGAAAAGTAGCCAGTGGGATTGAGGACAGCCAAATTGTGTGCAGCTCCAGAAATTAAGTTTAGGAGACCTATTTAGACTCCAAGAATCACTGAAGAACAATTATTTTTGCATGCAATGCTCAGAACACCTCAGCTAATACTATTAAAAAGTGTTGCCAGAGTTAAGACCACTCTAATTCATTCAATTGGAAGAACATTACTTTTATTTGCTTTGTGCATTTGAATTCTGAGTAAGATTACATTGCAAAAAAAACAATAAATTGAGGGTGAAAACTCATTTTGAAATCCCTTTACCACAGAATTCATACTATTTGAAACAGATCAAGTCACTTGTGGTTTAATTCGAAATATAGTCAAAAGAAGCATGAATGCTTTCTTTTATACCAGAACTTATATTCCTTGTTTTTAGTTTCCAGCATATCATTGAAGAATGTATAAGGCAGATGAATTTGGAACTAAATCAAATGAGAACAAATGGAAACACTACGTCTAATAAGAACAGTGCAACAATGGATGCAGAGATTGCATTAAGAGCTCTCATGGACTTCTTAGACAAAACGTAAGTTTTCTAGGCAGTTCTCTGTCTCTGTCTCTCTATGTCTCTATCTCTGTGTCTCTATCTCTGTCTCTCTTTCTCTGTCTCTGTCTCTGTCTCTCTCTCTCTCTCTCTCTCTCTCTCTCTTTCAAATGGGGTGTGGCACACCCAGCAGTGCTCAGGAATGGAATTACTCGTGGCTTTACACTCAGGGATCACTCCTGGTGATGCTCAGGGGACAATAAGGGGCCGAACCAGGGTCAGGCTCATGCAAGGTAAACTCCCTACCTGCTGTACTATCACTCCAGCCTTAGCAGTTTTCTCTTGATTCCTTTACCTAATTTGATACGAGTTTAACGTTAAAGTTGTTTTATTCTCTGTAAGATATTATCAAAGGGGTTTCTACATAAATATTAAATCATTTTTTAAAGTAAAATACATTGTTCCATGGGTAAAATGCACTGGTGCTACAGAAAAAGAAATAAAAAAGGCATGTAAATGTTGGTGATTAAATGATTGCTTGTTCTGAGATAGGAAGTGATTTGTCATTTCAGTTTCCTCAGATAATATAATGTGTTTTGTTAAAGCCTGAGGTGAGTCCAGAATATTTGACTATATTTCTGTTGAAGAAGAGACTAAGAGAAATGTGACTCAGGTTAGCTCAGCTCAGAAGCAAGCAGGATTACTGCCCTCATTCAACCTTCAGTAATTACTGAGTATCCATCTATATAAAACCATATACTGGAGCGATAGCACAGAGGGTAGGGCGTTCGCCTTACAAGCGGCCAACATGGCCGACCCAAGTTCGATTCCTCCGCCCCTCTCGGAGAGCCCGGCAAGCTACCGAGAGTATTGGATATGCCAGACACAGTAACAACAAAGTCTCCAATGGAGACGTTACTGGGCCCGCTCGAGCAAATCGACGATCAACGGGAGGGCCTTTACCTTTTACCTTAGTTACTGGACTTGTGAAAAGACACACAAAGTACTGACTCTATGGAGGCAATAGAATAGGTTAGAGCCACAGTAATGGGAATCTTTACATAGATAAACAAACAAAAAAAATAGTGATTTTTAAAGAAAAGGGTGCATTTAACTGATGAATGCACTGTAGCACTGTCCTCCTGTTGTTCATCGATTTGCTTTAGCAGGCACCAGTAACGTCTCCATTGTGAGACTTGTTACTGTTTTTGGCATATCGAATACACCACAGGGAGGTTGCCAGGCTTTGCAGTGCAGACAGAATACTCTTGGTAGCTTGCCAGGCTCTCTGAGAGGGACGGAGGAATGGAACCTGGGTCAGCCACGTGCAAGGTGAATGCCCTACCCACTATGCTATCGCTCTGGCCCAACTGATGAATAATTTTAAAAACTTTTAAGAGCCATGATTTAAAAAATAACTGATAGTTACAATTTAGACATACAAAAATTCAACACCAACCTCCCACTAGTGTCAACTTCCCTCCACCAGTGTTCCCAGATTTCCTCTCCTTCAGAGCCCCGCTCCACCCCTGCCTGTCAACTTGACAGGCACGTTACAGAGTTTCAGTGGTTGCCACTTAGGTCTCATGTTTTCATTTCTGTTGAATCTGCGTTTTGGATATGTGACTGTATCACTCACTCATATCACTGCTTTAATGAAGCCCTTATGCCTATTAACCAATTACTTCTTGTGTTCATCTTTACCCCTTGATTTCTTTCCTTCTGTCTGTCTTCCTCTCCAAACACAGGGCTCAGGGATGATTGAAGCATCTCCCTCTTACTGCAATGCGTTTCCTGATCTGGTAGTCTATATTCTACAGATAACTGAGATCATCCTGGTTGGTTGACTTCTAATATTTTTTACTTAGTTCCAAGTATAAAAGCTCTGACTCTAAGTTTGAAGTAGGGTCAAAGCAAAGGAATCTTTAAATGGGTTCAAACTTAGAAATCATTAATAAAAGTAATGGGAGACATGACTTCTTGGACAGTTTTATTCAAGTAGTTACTGAAAGTTCAAAAGTAAATTGAGGGTACTGGAGCAATAGCACAGCAGGTAGGGCATTTGCCTTGCACGTGGCCAACCCGGGTTCGATTCCCAGCATCCCATATGGTCCCTGAACACTGCCAGGGGTAATTCATGAGTGCACATCCAGGAGTAACCCCTGTGCATATCCAGGTGTGACCCAAAAAGCCAAAAAACAAACAAACAAAAGTAAATTGGGGTTCAGAGAGACAGTACAGTGAGTAGCATGCTTGCCCTACATGCAGCTGACCTGGTTTCAATCTCTAGCATCCCTTTTAGTTCCCTGAGCCCCACCAGGAGTGACCTCTGACACTGCCAGCCTGACCCCCAAATAAAAAACAAAAAAGAATTAAAATGAAGCCTTTACTTACTTTACTCTTTACAAAGAGAATGTTTAATTCTCTTTCCTTACACTTGATAAATAACATTAATGATAACATTAATGTCTATTCTTCAATTTCAATATTAGCTAAAAATTGCTTGGCAATAATTTGGAGACTATTTAAAAATAAATTTTTTAATATTTGGAAAAATTGACTTAGTTTTTGTTCTCTCTGTATAAACATCTAGATAATAGACAGATAGCCAATTATAAGGCTTAGCAGGAAATTGGAAGGGAATTATATATAGGAGAAATAAAAGAAAGGTGGAAAAGGGAGGAATTTTCATATGAAAAGAGAAAATAAAGGCTTCTTCATTTGTTGAGTTTCTTAATGTAGACTTTCATTCTTATCCACTAATTTCCTAAATAACCCTTAGCATTTTTTTATTGTTTCATTGCTTTATTTCTGTAAACAATACAAATTTAAATAAACACACCACAACTTGATTGCAAATGCATGCTGAGAACTGTTCCAAGCAAATCCAATTCTCAACACTCCTACTTAAGGAGCACTCTTTTTTCAGAATTTGAAGCAACAGTTTGGATATTTGCCATTTATCAATAACTAAATGATTAGTTTTTTTCATATCTTACAACCTTAAATTGTAGAACAAGGAAAAATTTTGTTAGTCTGATTGGCATTTACTAGCTTGAGGACCTTGAACAGAGTGCATCATCTATAAAATAGGACTCAAATATTTCGACTCTTATTTTCAGTATCATTGGATTCTTATTTTACTTCTTTTTACTTTTAATATCTATTTCTAATTACAACTTATGTTATCATATGTGTATTTTCAATTATTACCAGGAAAAGTAGTACAAAAGGATAAAAATACAACTGTGAGGTTTTTAAGATTTTATTATTGGATCATTGTGAGATAGATGTTCAAAAGGTCGTTGATAGATGTTCACAAGGTTGTTCATGAGGTAGGTTCAATCATACAGTATTCCAACACCCATCCCTCCACCAGTGCACTTTTACCAGGACCACTGACCCCAATTTCCCTCCGATCACCTTCTCCTCCCACCTGCCTCTATGGCCTGTGTTTTCTTCTTTCTCTCTCTCTCTCTCTCTCTCTCTCTCTCTCTCTCTCTCTCTCTCTCTCTCTCTCTCTCTCTCTCTCTCTCTCTCTCTCCCCCTTGCTACTTTACCTTTTGGGCATTGTGGTTTTCAGTAAAGATATTGAAAGGTTATCTGGTGTATCCCCTTACCTATTTTTTAACACTCATTACTTGTCCACGTGATCAGTTCCAGCTAGTATTGTCATCCTGGTCCCTTGTCATTCTTACCTACCCCACACACACTTATGGTTGATTCCAACCATTAACCAGTCCTCCTAAATCCTTTTGTCCCTGGTCATGGATGTGTCTTTGAATTTGTTATATGCCACAAATGACTTTAGTCATTCTATATCTGTCCCTTTCATTCTGACTCATTTCACTCAGCATGATACTCTCCAAGTCTGTCCAGGGGGAAAAATATGGAAATTCCTCAAAAAACTAGAAATTGAGCTCCCGTTTGACCAAGAAATACAACTTCTGGGAGTATGCCACAGGGGTCCCAAAACACACAGTAGAAATACCATCTGCACCCATGCGTTTATTGCAGCATTATTCACAATAACCGTAATCTGGAAACAACTGAGTGCCCAAGAATAGACAAATGGATAAAGAAACAATGGCACATCTACTCAATAGAATACTACTTGGCTGTTAGGAAAAAATGAAGTTATAAAATTTGCCAAAATGGACAGATCTGGTGTATGATTTCTTCAACGAGTCATTGGATTCTATTTGCTAATATTTTATTAAGGATCTATGTATCTGTGTTCACCAGTAATACCAGCCTGTAATTTTTTTTTGGGGGTGTCTCTGTCTGCTTTTGGTATCAGGGTGATATGTGCATCTTAGAAACTGTTTGGGAGTTTTTCTGTTTCTTCAGTTTCCTGGAAAGCTTCAAAAGGACTGGCAATAGGTCCTCCTTAAAGGTTTGGAAGAATTGACTAGTGAATCCATCTGGACCTGGGCTTTCGTTTCTGGGAAGACTTTTGATTACCATTTCAATTTCCTTGATGATCATAGGTCATTTAGGTATTCTAAATCTTGGTTCATCCTTGGGAGGCTATAGGAATCCATGAATTTATTCATTTCTTTGAGGTTCTTTTGTTTTGTGGCATACAGATACTCAAAGTAATATCTGATGATCTATTGAATTTCTGTGTTTTCTGTTTTGATGTGTCCTTTTGAACTATTTTCTGGGAATCCAGCTCGTTGATTTCTGCTCTAAATTTTATTATTTCTTTCCCCCTGCCTGGTTTGGGTTCTTTTGGGTCCTTTTCTAAGATCTTAAGCTTGAAATCAAGCTATTTGTGTGGGCCTTTCCTTCCTGATAAATGCTTGCAGAGCTATACACTTTCCTCTTAACACTGCTTTAGTCCCACAAGTTCTGGTAGCTGGTGTCCTCATTTGCATTTGTTTCCAGGAATCTTTTGATTTCTTCTTTGATTTCCTCTCTAACCCACTGGTTGTTCGGCAATAATCATATTTAATTTCCATGTTTGATTTGATTCTCCATTTCTATGTGTGATTAACGTCTATTTTAAGTGCGTCATGGTATGAAAATATAGTTGATAC